GGGAAGCCATATAACATACAACTTATATAGCTTACTACAGATCTTTATTATGGTACCACAACATGAAGCTCCTTCTTAACAAGAACCCGGTCTCCATTCCAGGGCCAATGCTTCATAGCTCTGGCCATGAGGACAAGACCCCTGTCGAGCAAAGACATCCACGGGCGCCTCCAGTAACCTCAGATCAGAGAATGAAACATCAAAACTCTATATAAGGGGCTTGAAGCAACCCTTAAACCCTAAACCCTGAAGCACGGTCCTCCCAAAACGGCTTGAATAAGATCTTGCAGGTTCTCCATATAAACTTCAGCTCCCGAAACCCTGAACCTCAAGCCTCTCTAAGGCTGGGCCTGTCCCAAGAACGGAGACGCCAAAAACCCTAAACCCTAAACCGGGTTGTTTTCAAAAAACAAACCGTGGGTCCGGCACAGCGTGCTCCAGAGACCCTCGACGACTCGAAAGAAAGCGATGCAACAGCACCCTAGGGTTTAGGGTTTAGGGTTTGGGGTTTAGGATTTAGGGTTTTGGGTTTAGGGTTTGGGGTTTAGGGTTTAAGTTTAGGGTAAACCCTAAACTAAAGCCTCTACAAGCTTTCCCAAGCCCTGAATTCTACAGGCAAAGCCTGGAACTCCCAAACAAGAGACAAGCCATGACTATATAACTTTTGCAAAAGGCACAACCTAAAACGACACAAACTAAACCCTGAAAGCAAAAGAACCTTTCTTGACCGCGTGAAGTACACTTGTAGTAGCCTTGTAGTATGTACCCTTACAGTACACTTAAAGCACCCTCACCAAACGGGTTTGGGGTTTAGGGTCTACCCATAGGCCCCTAAGTAGTTCCTTTTTGGGATTACCTTATAGGATTCTAAATATGGACCATAAAAGGAACTACTTAGGGGCCTATGGGTAGACCCCCAGACAAGGCCCAGCCGCGCCCAAAGAGTGGGTGTTCGGAGGTTTCCGTCGGCTTCCGCGCTCAGTGCAGCCGCCACGGCTTCGTGGAAGTACCCCGCGCGATCCGAATGTGGAAAGGCCATCTTCGGTTTCAGAGCTTTAGGGGGTTTAGGAGTCTTGGGCTTACGGGGTCGGGGGTGGTATCCTATGGTATATTGTGGTATATCAAGTTTCACAGCTTTTGGGGTTTAGGGGTGCAG